GAGGCATTTATACTGAGAGCTTCTCAGCTTCCTCAGGCCTGGCTGGTCAGTGTTGCAATGTTCACTACCTGGTTACACACTCGGTCATTGCAGAGACGAGCACAGCAAAGCCACTGAGACTGCAGAAACCCTACCATAAATACCACCAATGAGATATATATATATAAACATTGCTGTGCTCAATAGCCCACGCTGCACTCTCCGATCAGTCAATACTAGTCTTTTTTGCTGATTAAAAGGTTGTGCAAAAAAATGTATTTGTTGCAAAGCGCAATCAAACATCTGCCTTTAACAAACTGGTGGAGTACGGTGGGGGTTTTGATTTGAAGCCGTGTTAAATAAACCATCAGCTGCCTTCCTCTCTCCTGTGGGGCAGTCAAAGCGATTTGAGCGCATCACTGGTGATCTCTCTTCAAAGAGCAGCAGCGACGAGGGTGAAGCCTGGAGTAGAGTCTGCTTGGTCAGGCGTGACCGCTAATCTGAAACGTCCAGCACTATTTGCTCATTAATTATTTGCTGAGCATAATCAAGGCTAAAAAGCATCAGTGAACCACAAAGAGAGTCTGAAAGAAACGTCCCAATGTGACCGAATGTTCTCTCATCTCCTCCCGTTCTTTGTGCGTCAAGTTTAGTAAACACATCAATGTTCTCACAGCCTCTCAAATCCACCATCCTTTCTGACTGATATTAATAATAATAATCCTTCCTTTTAATATAGCGCTTTATCATGATATTGAGACATCTCAAAGCGCTTCAAATGATATACTATGAAGTGAATTGACTGTGAATTTTGTGGGCAGCCAATTGCAGTGTCCCACAAAGCATACAGTCAATTCACTTTACAATATATTCTGTGAAGCGCTTTCAGACATCTCAAAGATGTCATAAGGCGCTATGTCAGATGCAAGGATAGTAATTATTATATTATTATTATATTACACCAAAATAGCTCAGTCATTTCGCCCCCTACATTTTAGCTCGTCTGAACCTCAACCGTACATTAAAATTCACAAGGTTTGTTTTCCGATTCTCTAGGGTCAAAAAGAGTCCTTAGTCTCTCATTTAAATAAATTACAATATTAATACTGAGTAGTCACTCGTAGTAAATATTATAATGATATATATATAAATATTTACAGTCTGTTTGAGACGTACTTTGAAGTGATGGGGTCCTTTCGTCTGTCGGTATAATGTGTGATTTTAATAGGAGTGTGCGGTAGATTCATAATCAGTGGAGGATTTAAGGATGAAGGAAACAGTTTACAGACAGACAGACAGACAGACGTGCAGGTAATGGGGCAAAGCTTCACACACACACAGAACCAACCATGGCCCGCACAGCTACAAACCTCCTGGTGATGGCTGCCGTGCCAATGGCCTGATGCACTTCACAGGGAATCAATGCCAAGTGTAGTGACTGCATTTTGTAGGCAAATGCGCACAGTACAGCTACAATTCACAAACAGTCGTGAAAAGGATAAACTACAGTATTAATCTGGAGGATTCTTCGCCAGGAGAATACCAGGAGACAGAGCTCCCCCTTCTCTTTTCCATTGGAAAATTTAACACACGTAGATGGAAGCTCGGATTTAACACCTTATCCGTAGACCTACTCCTTCCCAGTGCTGTACCCCAGTCCACCCCAGTCCTGCTCTACACTATCAGCTCCTGACATACAATCTCTTTGTTTGCATGTTGAGCCTATTTGCATTTCCAGCTGGGTGGTCTGCATTGTGCATTGTGTTCTCCAGGACTCAGTAGTCATTTTATCCTGCGGGACTTTTTAAAAAAATAATTTCCACATTAAGTTTGGATTTTGTACCATGCTAGGTACTGTATCTTACATTTAAAAACAAAAACGGTCCACGGGCTGAGACTAGGTGGAATTCCAGGCTCCGCAGAGTGTGTGGGCTTTCCCAAACCAGCTCCCAGTTGCTCATGAACCAAAGGCACAAAACTGTCCTCACATGAAGCTACTGTAGGATTCTACCTCACGTTCGATTGTAACCAACTCACCATCATTTCCAAGTCACTGACCCCAAATCAGCATATTTCAGGCAAACATCAAACTAAACACAAACACAAGTGCCTCAGGCAGTGTGTCTGCCGCAGCTCTCAGCTCCCAGGGAAACATTCATTCCGATGGCACGAGGAAAAGCATTCATCTGTCTTCACCAATATCATTGGGACAGGTGAATAATAATCCTTCCACTTGATGTGCAGGAGATCAAAATGTATCTGTCAGCCAGGCCTCTGAGTCAAAGTTTGTGGGTTCAAGCCCCACGTCAAGACTTTGAACTCACATCATTTAAGCCTAGGCTGAGACAGTGTGGGGGGGAGCACTGCATTGTCGGAGGTGCCATACTTCAGATAAGACATTAAATCGAGGCCCTCTGCCTGTTCAGGTTGATGTTAAAGATCCTGCAGCGCTATTGGAAAGAAAAGCTCGCCGGCTAAAAGAGGGTGGTTTTGGTCACGGAGTCTATTGGGATATTTCAACTCTTTGTGACATAACCCATCAAGCTATCACACTACTTACTGTAGGATCTTTACCCAAATACAAGGGCACTATACCGTATATTAATGCAAGTTCTTCTTTGCCCGAGGTGGCCTTTAATGCAGGTGGCTGTCAATGGCAATGCTCCATAAAGCTCATTATTGTCTGTTTTTGTGGATTCTTTGGAGAGAAGCTAATAATCAGAGCATGTATTCTGTGGACTTTTCCAATTTCATTTCATATTGTTCCTGTTTTCTAAAAGAAATCAGAAAATGTTTGCCCCCCCCCCCCCTCCTCTCCCCCAAGTATTATAGGAGAGAATAGCCTGCGAGTTTGGGGAAAGCTGAATAGGTTTTCTGACACTCAAAGCTAATTATACAGAGTTTTCTTTCAGTACAAAACACCTGATAACACATGTTATTCACTGCATCGAGGCCAATAATCACAATTAAATTATATAATGGCTGAGTCAGTGAGGAGAAGCTAAGCCAGTCCTCCCCCCCTCAAGTGGAATCAAAAGGAACGTATTTATTAGCGGCTGCTTCACAAAAGACCATATTTTCTTAATGAAATTGAACAGATGTAAAAGAAGATGTCAAACGTACATTTCTGTTTCTATTTTGTTGGGTTCTGGTATCTCCTAATGCATCAAAGAATTAACGAGGAAAGAAACTGACTCATCAAATATATAAGACAGGAGAGAAAAAGGGAATACAGAAAGTAGTTGCACCTGGTTTCCATAAATTCTTTGAAAGGTTTCGACACGATTGTTATTTTTCGTGCCTTGTCAAAGTCGGGGCACTTTGTGGCATATACACACCCATTAAAGATCCCGAGGCCCTATTGGAAAAGAGAAGGCAGTTCCTCCTGGTAAATTGTTGAGTCACTTCTTGGGCTGTTTGTGGGACAATCCTGTACACAAATTGGTTACCGCCTTTGCCTACAAAATACTCAGTCACCACACTTTGTCGTAAGAACAGGTTCCTTGTTAATAAGCACAAGCAGTAATGAAACACCTCAAACTGTACCCCAACGTGTCCTTCACCAAAGCTCATCATCTGTTAATGCCTCACTTAAACATCAAGTTTCCCAAATCCCCCAGTGACCAAGTTTTGGGGGAAACTTGTAACCAATGGAAAGACACATCCCTGACAGAAGAGCCTGTTGAAAGATTGTACTGGTTGAGAGGAATTTACTGGATATTCTTGCGAAAGACTGGAACCTGAAATTCTTGTCAAAGTCTTTTAAGTCACCCTAGAAGCCATGATAAGGTGCTATGTCAAATGCAAGGATTATTATGATTAGAAAGCCAACCCATTGAGCATTGAGTCCTGTTTGAGAGGAGTGAAGAAGGGAGAGGAGTAGGCTTCCCACAATGCCAACGCTGACAAACACAAAGAGAACTGGCATCCTACATACAGCACTGTCTGCCCAAGTCACTGAGCGCAGTCACCAGGTACATAGACATCCTGTTCATCTTCTCGCAAAGGTCAGAGAAATGTCAGTTTGTTGAATCTAAATCTCAAAATATGAGTCAGACAAATCGATAAAACAGGGGAAAGAGAGAGAGAGAGCGAGATGGACCTTATCTTTCATCTTTTCTATCTTACGGTTTTGCTTTGATTAAGAGAGAAAAGAACCCATTAAGACGATACGTCATTCCTTGTGCTATTTCCTGGTGGTATAACAGAGCTGCAGGAAACTCACAGCTTTTGCAGAGGTAGTTTTTACTCATGATAGACCCACCCGCCCACTCTCCACCCATCACGCCATTCGTGCTTTGAGATGTAAGATTCTACAGATTTGTGAAAAATTCTTCAAAGAATCCAGACCTGATTTGGAAGTTGAGTTTTTTTCTGCACCTCTTCAAGCATGGAATCCTGGAGCTCAGTGGTTAGAGCACTCGCCTCGCAAGCAAGAGGACCTGGGTTCGATTCCCGGGCAGAGCGAAACGTTGGGCAAGTTTCCTTACTCCACATGCCTCTGTTTACCGAGCAGTCTATAATTGGAGTTGAGGTACAGACCAGCCATGGTCTAATTGAATGCCGGAACAGGCTCGAGGAGCTGAATACAATACAAAATTACATTTGTGAAGCACCTTTCAACGTCGGGAGAACATCCCAAGGTGCTGAACAGTCAGGGATTAGGAATGGCAAGGGGAGGCTGCGGAGAGGGAGGGGGGAAGGGTGGGGAGTGGGAGGGGGAGAGTCCCTCAGGCCAGTGTGCAACATGACTAAAGACGTGTCAGAGTGAGTGCGGTCTCTCTGTGTCTTTGACCATGTGTGGAACCAAACACAAGCTACATAAGAACCTCGGACCAATGGGGTCGCATGACATGCAGCACCATCTGTATCTGCTGCTGCTTACACGAGATAACCAAAGCTGTTGATGTGGGTGAGCGGCTATGGGTAAGGTTACGGTTTATCAGCCCAGACAGTCTTGAGTATGTACGTGTGGCAGAGGCTCTGTTACAGTGAGAGATGGTTTCGGTTCTGATCAGTACCTGTGACAACGGCTGACGTGGTGTCACGCCTCTGCCCTCAGTCTCTCCATCATCGCCCCTTCTTTAACCCTTAAATTCACCGGTTTGGTTTTTGGACAACTCCTTCCATGTGCTGTAACAGTTACAAACAGGTACATGTTAACCCCCACAGAGGCCTAAAGTTCTATCCGGTCTAAAGCTCAAGATTATTATACTGTACGCATAGCTCTCGCACGCACTTTTAAATAGGCCAGAGAGCGACTGAGGGAGCTAGGCTGATACCTGGCCACTGACGATAAACTGGCATCAACATTTTCACCAGTTCAATAAAGAGAGAAATGGAAGCAGGTTAGAATTCATACGTTAACATTTCTCCTACTCTTCTGCCTCAGTTCCTGCTGCTGGCCATCATAGCCAATCTGTCCAATCCACTTTGCCCTGTAAGAGGATAACAAAGGCTCTGTAAACAGTCAGTCTCCTGTTATAAAGCCAAAAGCACCTCACAGTGGCAGTATTGGGAGATGCACTGGTTACGGCTGAGAGGAATGCCACTGTTGGGGTCAATGTCTCACTCACTGACTGGCTCACCTACAAGAGAATCGTCAGGGAACCAAGGCCAACAAGGCAAATCGGCTCCAGCAGGTGAGACTGTGTAATATCTTCACATAAAAAGGCTTCTTTTTAACTTACACAGGTCCGCTGGCTGCATATCCCTCTCTGATTAACCTTAATAATAATAATTATAATCCTCACTTTCCATTGTTTAACCCGAGTAAGGAGGTGGAGGTGGAATCCATTGTGGCTTTCAAGAGGGAAGTGGATGTGTAAGTGAAAAAGAAAGGTGTGAAGGGGAAAGGGATAAGGCAGATCTGTGGGACTGAATTGATCTCCTTGCTCAGAGAGCCGGTGCAGGCTTGATGGGCTGAATGGTCTCCTTCCGCACTGTTATGTTTCTATGTTTCCTTATAAACTTCTCAAAGCGCTTCACAGGGAACAGCCTTTTATTCAATGGGCAAATACGGCAGTCAGTGTACTCAGAACAAGGCCAAACAAACAGGCACAAAGTGAGTGACCTATTTTATCTGAAGAATTGTTGGCCAACACTGCTTGAGTTCACGCCAGACAGCCAGACTTTCGGAATAAATAGAAAATTGTGTTGTTTGAATAAGAGATTCTGTAACACTTTTCATACACATGTAATCTCTTCCACAGACATTGCGTGCTTCACCCCATGCTCACAATGGCAGGAATTGTGCGCAAACATTTAGCGCACAGCCGCAACTGCAGCCCTGTCCGCCGTTCTCCCACGTTAGTCAATTCACCGCCGCGAGCAACGTCCAGGATTAGGCAAGTACGAAACTGTTCCAGTCATTGTTTGAACTGACTTAACAAGCAATACACCCGTCGCTAGATTACCCCAGCACACACCCGCGCTCTGGACATCTTTCCCCAAAGTCCCCTCACCACGTTCCTTCTCTCCCCACCTTCGGAAGGTGTCTCTGTGGTCCTGCCTTTGGCCAACACCCATATGTTCTCCTTCCCCTCGTCAGCTGAACGACGATGCACAGCGCCCTCTCCTGTTAACCTTCGTGCATTACCGGTCACGCTCCACGGGGGACCAGATTCACGTTGATGGACAGATCCTGATCCAGTCAGGAACGTTGTTCCTCTTCGTGCCTTCCGCATTCAGGACAACATCCACGAGATCACAAAACGCCTTGCACGCCACTGCACGTTGGGGTCAGTTGTTATCGTCGTTACTTTAGTGGGGTCCGTTCGTTCTTTAGCGCCTCGAACCGGCCACGGGTGGTGTCGCTCAGCGGGTCCTGACTATGGAGAGAGGAAAGCGAGTCAACGTGTCGGCCTTCTGTGGCTGGGGGGAGAGTCGCCTCGTCGGAGGTGCCGTCGTTTTAATAATCCGATCACGGTGACCTGGGATCGGTTGCTTCCGACGCGTAACAATTATTTATGATGATGATAATAATAATAATCCTTGCATTTGATATCGCGCTTTTCACGCCTTCTCCACGTCTCAAAGCGCTTCACAGAGTAGACTGCAAAGTGAATTGACCGTATATTTGCGGGCGAATAATAATAATAATAATAATAATCCTTGCGTTGGTGCAGCGTCTCACCATGTCGTGAGAAAAGAAAAAAAAATTGGTCATTCAACCCACGACGGGGCGCAATCGGCTGCCGTGTTTCGCCCACCAAAATATACAGTCAATTCACTTCACAGGGTGCGGAAGCGCTTTGAGACGTCTTGAAGATGCGATAAGGGCGCGATATCAAATGCAAGAAATATGATCGATTCGCCGGTTATGTTATGTGGGCAAACGTGCACACCCTCCCCGTGATGGGTGTGGTGGTGAGGAGGGTGGGGGCGGGTTTTGAACCAAAGTTGTGTTAGGACCCACAGCCTCCTGAGCCGGAGGCAGGAGCGCAAGGGACCGAGCCACAGGTAGAACGTGACGTCACGAGCCGCGTCGACGTCCTCTTGGGACTGACTGACTGACTGACCGTCCCCTTGACGTCACCTGCAGGCAGAGCCGCCAAATCACGTCGTCGACGGCGGCAGAGGGCCATGTGCGCGTGACGTCACGAGCCCATGACGTCGCGACCTCCTTTGTCAAAAGCGGGGGCACCGCGGCGCCGAGGCCAGTCGGCAGCGGGGAGGCGAGCGGGAGAGGAGCCGCCGGCCGGGGGGCTCTCACATAAACCCAGGTAGCCGCACACCCGCCATTTTGTGTGTGTTTCACCCCCCCCCCTCCCCACACACACACACACAGACTTTCCCCTCACACAGCAAGCGAATAGGGAAAATTATATATTTATTGATTATATATATATATATATACATTTATATTCCTCAACTCACGTTTCGTGTTCAAGGTTAATAAGCTGGAGCTGGGTCCGGGTCCGGCTCGCTGGCCGCCATGACTCCCCGTTCGCCTCCCATCATGGTCGTATGAAGAGATTCGGGTGTTTTTTTTTGTTTGTTGTTGTTTTGTTTTCGCCGAGAGCCGGAGCGAAAACTCCCCCCCCCCCCGCGGTCCCGCGCCCTCGGCATCGTGTCGGCGGATCGCTCTTGTTACCCATTCCCCAGCCTCCCCCCCCCCCCCCCGCGCTCGTATTACCGTGGCGGTCGAAGGCCGCTGAAGCCTCGGGCTGGAGTGGTGCGGGTGCGGGGCAGGCGGGGGATTAGCTCAGACCGGTTGGGACTGGCTGGGGAGATTAGAGCGCGCGGGGGGGGGGAGGAGGGGTCACAAGGAAGACCCGCCCCTCTCCGCACGGTTGATTGGACAGGACCAGCGGCCGCCTGGCACCTGATTGGACCGTTCCCCCTGTCAGTCAGGGCGCTGCTGGTTCCTGGGGCTGAACGACATTTTCTGGACATTTAATGGTGATTCCTTGTTCTTTGTTCCCCGCCAGGCCTCAAGCCCTCCGCGTCTGTTATCCCCGGCCTCCCCTCCCGTTGTTTTCATCTGGAGCTGTTCAACTGTAAGGATAGGTTACGGGATTGTTATTAATATTCAGCAGATTAACTGTGTGGTCTTCCCAGTAGAGCCTGGTCTGTGGCTACACTTACAGACCTACTTGGAGTACGTCAGGGCCATTGGTGTCTTTGGCTTAAAACTACTGTAGTGACTGTAAAAGTCAACGGGGCACGGAGCATTGGGCAGATGTACGTCCGTCAGGGAGTTGTCTGGCTTGGCTTTAGCATAACTGGCCTCTGCTGGATTGGGGTTGGAAACTTTGTTCCGCGCGCTTGTGGTTCATCGGACACAGTTAACTTGCTTTTTCTTGTGTGTTGGGGCGAGGGTTGAGAGAGAATTGTGAACTTGGACTCCATCGGTTTGATATATTCTTGCGAGTAAACTGATATGCAACAAATTACTGACAAAGTGGCTGATTAATTCCTTTTTCTTTTTTTTTTAAAAAAAGATGGAGGTTTGGGATTGGCATTAGAGCTTCCTCTGTTCCTCTGAAGATCGAGAGGACCAATGCACATTGGGGCACTTTGGTTTCTAATGTAGTTGAGTGATGTGTAAGTTCCCTGTGGTGAGAAGGCGGTTAAGGGATGGACTTTTATTTGGTTTGTAACTTTTACTTGGTTTATTGTTGGTCGTCTGAAGTGTCTGCTATCTTTCCTATAGGGGAAAAAATGGGTAGGATAGAATTCACAATGGAGTAGGTAATGTGTGGTGCTGGAACAAATTGGATGCCCTGAAATGGCTCACTCGTTCAGTGTTTTATAATAATAATAATAATAATCCTTGCATTTGATATAGCGCTTTTCACGTCGGGAGGACGTCCCAAAGCGCTTCACAGAATATACTGTAAAGTGAATTGACTATATATATATAATGTTCACATGATGTTGGGTTGTAATGGATTTATAACAACAAAATTACTTTGGTAGCGCCTTTCACACCAGGAGAATGAAGTCGCTGGGTGCTTACAGTTGGGTGTATGATGTCCACCTGGCTTGGTAGAGTACTGTACTTTTTTGGGTGAGGGGATCTACTTAAAAAATGTTCAGTATCTTTCTGATAAAGTCTTAGATTGTTGTCTCAGTGTCTACACAAAGCTGTTCTGATATTTGCATCCTTTCAAAGTGAATTTGGAAGAAGGTTTGCATACACTAATTGTGTGTAGAGACCATATTCTGCAAACCCTTTCAGAGCTAATCATAGTAAACCTTTGATGTTTTTGTATAAGTATTGTAGATCAAGAAAATTTGTTTAGTAACTCCTTGAGTAAGCTTCTAATGGAGCAAAGTTACTGTAACTTTATGCAGGTATGTTGAGTTCATTTTTGTTCCTGTAACTCGTTTGTGCTTCTCCAGCTTGGCCCAGGTTCCCTTTGGCATATTATATATTCAAAGCTTTGAAGTTTGAGACTGTGGGAAATCTATTTAATTATTAAACACTAACTTATTTGTTGCTAACAAGAAGAAGCTTTTTGAATTTTAGATCAAACTGCTCATCTGATTTGTTCTTCATTTGTTCAAAGTATTTTCCAACTTGCTGAGCTATTGGTTCTCCAAAACCTTGAATAATTTGTTATTTTATGTTTTACCCTTTTGCTTGACTGTTGTACCTTTTGACAGTTACAAGTTATTACTGGTAACCTGAATCAGTACCTGATTGAAGTCTCTAAATGTGCACTTTCTAGCAGTTGGGATGCAGTTCCAAAGGACCATTATTATTGTAATTTCTATTATCCTCCTATCCTCACAACATTTCAGCTGTTAAAAGATCTGTGGTCCAGGACTCTCTCTCCCTTAATCCCTCCACCTTGTTCCCTCGTTCCCCCTTTTCAGATCACGCCAGAAGACCTTCCTCTTCGGGCATGCCTACGATCACCACTCCTAGCTCAGCGTTGAGCTCCACCACTATTATTATTATTTTACCCCGTGTGAAGGGCACCATATGTTTGATTACAATTGTGAAATGAAGTTTGGCATTTTATTCATCTCTTATCTTGACATTTTTGTAAAGCTACTGATAGTGACTTGCTACCCAGAACTAGAAGTAATGTGGCCTGGGTCCAGAGCCCAGCTCCTTCTCTCCCAACAATGTGTCGAACAATGGCCTTGGAAAACTGCAAGTTTTATTTTCCTTTTCTGACAGCAATCGGCTTTGTGGCTTTTCTGAGTGATTCTGGCAGCTTGATGTCTGCACTTATGTTAGCTGTGAATTTGGTTAGTGTTGCTTAAACTCGGAACCTTTAAACCTAGTGTAGATGTACTTCAAACGTGCCTTTGGCCACCACACCGCCTCCTCACTTCCTCGGGATCCAATCATGTCCTTGTAAAGTGCTCTGAGACATTGCCTAACATGAAGGATGCTGTATACGGCTGCTAGTTATTTCCACCATCTTAGATTCAAATTAGTATTTACATATCCAGCCACTGACATTGGTTTATTTTTTCTAAGAAAAAGAAAGCGCATAGTAACTGAAATACATCTGGTAGATGTATCTCGCCCTCCTCTCCCTTTACATTAAGTGTTTTCACTCTGACTTATTTCCTCGAGTTGGAGAGTGCTCAAAAGTTCCTTCGGTTGTACAGGAACCCGTCTTGCTTTTATCACTGAGCTAGTGGGAGTGCGATGGTCTGAATTCACCACAGCCTGCCTCGCTGCCAAGCCAAGGCTCACTCCCACAACCGTGTTAAAAGAACAGCGAGTCCCTTTTCCCAACGGTTCTTACGTTGCCAGCTGCTGTTCTGCACTCTATTGGTTCTGTGTGTTGCGCCTCGGTATGTGCATACGCATAAAAGTGGCTTTGTTGCACTGTGTATCAAATTAAGGATGGGATTGTGGTGTTCCTGCCAGTTTGAGGTGCGTCCCAGTTGAGAGGCATTTGGGGGAAGATTACGCAGCATTTGGAAAATAACATTTAGCTTCTACCAAATTGCGTTTGGGAACCTCTTTTTACAGGCATTATTTTGTGGACTCGCGGGGGTACTAAAATAAATTGCAGGAAAATATTTGGATGTCCAAATATCACTTTATCGACATCCCCGGCGCACGCACTCTCTCTCTCTCTCTCTCTCGCGCGCACACACAGACACTCAATCAACGTTTTGTTGTCGAGTGCAATGTAGAGAGAACAGCATTAGGTTTTACTTGTTCCAAGGATGACACTTGAGCTCAATTTACTGCCAGAATTCTTTTTTTTCAAATGAAACTGCTAAACCTGAGTTCAAGTGAAGGGTCAAGGCCCAAGTTTATATGTGCTGGCAAATGAGGAGAGAGGTGAATACAATGAGAAGCCGTGGAGAAGGGACTAGTGATGGCATGCTTGTCTTTTAAAAGCCGTGCAACAATAATGCTTTGTTTAATGACAATGCCACACCATTCGTAGATTTTAATAGATTTCAATATCTACAGCTCATTCAGCTACCAGAATAATCAATTTGACCCAACATAACACTTGATGTTCAGCATGTCCCACGGCGTTTGTGGGAAAATTTCTTTGTAATGTGGTTAAGGTTAATTCTATTGCTAGATCCATTGTTATTACTTAATGTTAGTGTGTTATTGCATTGAGTTTGGGGCACGTTCCTAGATCAACTAGTGCTGCTCAGTCACTACCATTGTAGGGTTGTCTGCAGCTGTAAATTACCCACCCCAAACACAGACGATCAAGGACCTCTTGCTTCGTCCGAATTGTTTATAATACAGTACATACCCAACTGGTGGAGGTGCTTACAGCATCAAACTTGCTCAAATTAATCCTATGTCGGCTTGCACGACCCTCCCAGAACTTAAGATGGTGAATTTTGGAGGTTATTCAGCACTGATACCCATTGCAGCTGAGAGTTTTCACCTTTGAAATTCCTATGTCCTTCCAGCATCGGTTGGTTGTTGGATCGGGATCCCCAGCCCGGGGATGCCGAGGCCAATCTTCCTGGTATGTTTCTGTACAGAAGCATGCAGTGACCATCCATTAAACCCAGATGGGAAGCTGCCTGTACTTCAGCCGAATAGGAGGTTAAGAGGTTACAAATCATGAGTGAAATAATGCCAGAATTTTGCATTATTATCTTGTTGGAACTAATAATCTAATGTATTTCATGTAAAAGCTAATTTAATTGTATTTCAAGCTGTTTTCATGGTGATTTTGTTGCAATGGAATTGCAGAGATTAATGGGAGGCTTAATTAGTTGCGTTGTGTTAAGTGCTACAATTTCCCTTGAATGTCCCACTGGTGGACCTCTTGAAAGAGCATAGGATTCACCAATGTTTCCTGATGGGAATTGGTAACCTGGTTTCATACAAACAGGAGGAGGCCATTTTGGCCGAGTGAGGCTGTTCTGACACTGGATAGCTGACTTTTGGAGATCTAATGAACTTTTTTTGTGGGGGGTGTGTGGTTAGAGCCTTCGTAGAAGCTGCAGGGAACACTCCAGTGTGAGCCCTGGTAACAGTGTCCAGGAATTGTACATATTCTAGTGTATTCTAATGAATGTATTCTAATCTGTACGGTCTATATTTCAGGGCGTGCAGAGGAAGCTACATGCAAAACAGGATGGCCCAGGAGACTAATCCATCCCAGGTGCCCATGCTGTGTACCACAGGATGTGGCTTCTACGGCAACCCACGAACCAATGGCATGTGCTCCGTCTGCTACAAAGAGTATCTGCAGAGACAGCAGAACAGCGGCAGGATCAGCCCACCAGGTAACTTGGGATCTTTGTACAGTGCATAAACCAGAAACTTCTACCAATGTGGGATCTGGAACCTCAGTGTTCTGTTAAGTGTCTTTTTTTTTTGGAGGGAAATGCATTACAACAAAAGAAATGTATTATTCTGCGTCACCTCAACACTGTTGAATCTTGCTGAAATGACAGCGTGAATGAATTAATGAACGTGTTCTATTTAATGGGTGACAATTTGGCAGCCAGAAGCGGAGGTTGAAAACAGTTAATTGCACTAACTGCATTCAACTCGTATTCAATAAGCTCTTGGAAAGCTGCTTTTTGGAAAATTAAATTTCCTCTGTTGAAATTTGGCCAAAAGATTGCGGTCGAGCATGTTGCACCATGCTACTTAATTTCCCTAGTTAAGAATTTTATATTAATACAATAATATTATTCCTTGCATTTGATAGCACCTTATCAGGTCTTCGAGATGTCTCAAATTGCATCCCAGAATATACTGTAAAGTTTAATTGACTGTATTTTGTGGGCAAATTAAAATTTAGATTAAATCACATTGTTTTTCCTAAAGAAAAAAATTGCTACTGGCATTAAGTGGAGCACTCTGTGTGATTTTAATGGTCGCAACTTTTGGAGCAGTTTCTTAGAAGAGTTATTGAATCTGCCTGTGCAAGTAAAATGCTGGACAATAACTGCTCCTTTGCCTTTTGGTAAACTATTGCTTGCGTCTTATAAAAGTGCTGCAGTTCTTGTACAAATTGGTCTTCTGTGTTTGCTAAAACATCCTAGTTTTAATTTTGTACTGTCTTCTCATTTATAGTCCAGAGATCAATCGTGTGTCCTTTTTAAATGGTGCAAGATTTAAAATGATCCGCTTGTCCGCTTGCTTCCACGGAGACGTTGTATAAAGCAACCCTAACACTGAATTGACCTGGAATCCATCATGCTCATATTGCAAATCTCTAACCCACTTTTTTTATTTAAAAAAGTCACTTTCTAAAGGATCTCATTCCTTGTTCTATTCTCATGATCCAGCAATAAAGGGTTTCACCAGTAAAAAAAAATTATTTGAGATGTTTGCATTATAGAATCCATATTAATTTTGAAAGCTCACTATTGCTGAGTAGACGCCTGGGATGCTTTCTGCTGCTTGCATGATCAAATTTCAGAAGATGTACTGAAATTTGACAAACTTGTATTAACCTATTGTGCGGTAGAATATCACTTTATTGGCCATGATAATAATAATTCTTATTTGATATAGCGCCTTATTACGTCTTCAAGACGTCTCAAAGCACTTCACAATATACTGTAAAGCGAATTGACTGTATATTGTGTGGGAAAAATATGATGGAGGGGAATTGGTGAATATTGCAATTGCCCGATTAAGGTTTGATGTGAGTAACAAGTGGGAGGTGGTTCAGGTAGCAGGAGCTAAGACAATGATCAATCTTCCTTATTATTGATGCACAGAAATTTTGCTGCATAAAAGTCATAACTTTCACTATTTTGTCCAAATATTTGTGTGAGATGTTTACTTTATTTTTTTTACAAAAGTAGTTTATGATTGTCATGTATTATCTAGTACAGCGGTTCCCAATTGGTGAGCCGCAGTCCATTTCTCCATCGGTTGTTGGTGCAGGACATAATTTGATGTGCACGTGTGAGCTCCATGTGCTCAAAGTGGCCAACTGAACAATGGGCGGGTGGGCACGTTTCAACATGTGCACTGTTCATTTTGGAGGAGGCAAGCCTGGGTTCTGAATAGGAAAGGAAAATAACTTTTCACAGGTTTCTGGGGGCACAGACTTGCAAAAAACCATCCAACTTTAGAGAGAGGGGAAAACTATTCCTTCCAAAATATTTTGGCCGGTCAGACTGCTCTGTATGCACTGTGGGAGTTTGGCGGTGAATCAAAAGGAGACGAGGAGTACCGTGAAAGATTAAAAGTCAAATTTAACTCACAAAACAGTAAAGTGATGGAGGGGAAAAGAGAAATGAGTAACTGGCAGGAACTGAATCCAGGTCAAATTCAGTCAAGGAACCATAAAGGACAAGCGCCAGTACAGTAAATCAATTAAGATTGGAAAACTAATGATTAAAAATGGTGGACAGGAAGAAAATTAACCATGGCATTCAGCTGAACACATCGATAGACTGACTGCATCTGGTGTTTCCAAATGGCGGATTGCAGTCCGGAACCGAACAGTCAAGACGTTTCACCTCTCGCTAGTATCCCATCCAACCCTTGGTAAGGCCAACCACTGGGGTAAGTGGATCTGATTGGGAACCACTGATCATGCTGCCATCACTGTCAAGATTGCAGTACAAGAGGCCCCCGATTCGCTCGTGTTCCTTATTGTAGCTGAGCTGTGTTATGTGGAGCAGTTTCACCCCCACAAGAACGAGAACAAGATGTACATGTGGCAATTGTCGCCCCTCTTTAGTGCACATTAAATACTTTTTGTTACATCTGTCTTAAATACTTCCACTGAATCATAAGAACTACTGTAGGTTTTGATGAAGAAAATAAATTGGAGAATGATGGGAGTTCAGACAAGCAGCACATCTCTGAGCGAAAGACAATCCACCCAGTGTTAATTCCTAAATCTGATTTTTTGAGGTAGAAAGCTCTTGGTGCTGCAATGAAGGATTAGTATGAGCAGCTGGTGTTTTGGTGTTGGCTGTTTGAGCTGAATGAAGCTTCATTAATGCTCTTTCCCCACCAGCAGCCAGCGGAGCTAGCAGCAACAGCTCAAGCACAGAATCCATCCCTGTTCAATGCACGGAAGGAAACCCTGACATGTCTGCTGATTCCTCTGTCAGCACAACATCTGGCAAAACCAGGTATGAATGCCATTTGGCCTGAGTAGGGCTTACATACTTGCATAGAGAAAATAGGCAATATGGTTACTATAAAAATATCACTGCTTCTGTCCGTGTCTCTCCTTTCTCCCCCTCCCCTCTCATTAAATGGAGATGTTCTGAGGTTCTCTGCCCAACTGGCCCAATCTGTCTATCTCAGTTTCAGAATTCCAGTTGGTTAGAAAACTGGCACATTGACAGCTTATCAGCTCAGTAACATTTTTATATTGACTGACTGTTGGAGTTCACCAATAAAATGTTGGTCTATACAGTCTTAAACAGTAAAGTGCAAAATGTGATGCAATGGCTTAAAACTTCTTGCTTCTGGACCCTGAGCCTCCTTATTTCAGATCTGTATGTGCATCCATTTGGTTTGATAAAAGTTTTTGGTTTCTTGTCACCTTTGCCTAGTACACCTATGACGCAACAGATGACTGCGATGAGCATTTCTCAAGATGAGTCAAACACAGAGAGCGAGGGTGCTCTGAAGGTGGAAATTACCACTGCATCAGGTTAGTTGACTTCCTTGGAAATAGAAACATTGGCTTCAAGTGCAGGAAATCCTCTCGAGAAAGATATCAATGTACTAGGTGGGTGGATGTGTCAGGGAATTGGATTTGTTCTGAAGATGTTTGTCTACTATTCTCATGTGAAATCCAAATCATTCTCCTTAATAATTTCTCTGGTTTGTAACAACTTTCCACTAGAATTCATTGCAATCTCTTCTGTCCGTAGCTGAAGAAAGTTTGGAAACTGCAGAAGGCTCCACAGAAGGTGAGGACAAGGTCCCAGAAAAAACAAAACCCAAAAAGAATAGATGCCTTACCTGCAGGAAGAAGGTGGGACTGACAGGTAAGGAACATGCTAGCTATTCTAGAGGATACATTATAAAATAATCTGTGTGGCCACGATTGGGTAACTATGTTTGACGAGAGACGTATGAGCATTTCTAGCATTCACTAAGATGATTCTAATGAAGATTTCATTTTGCCCACAAGATACAGTCAATCCACTTTACAATATATCCTGTGAAACGCTTTGTGACATCTTAACAGTGTGATAAGGCATTATTATCAAATGCAATTATTATTTTGTCCTGATTTTTTTTAGCCCTTCCACAAAGAGCCTGTTTTAAAGCAAAACATAGTCATTCAAATTGGGTGTAGTTTTGTTTGTGCACTATTTAGGGTAGTGTCTGTGTCAATGCCCAGAATGTTTGAATGGTTGTGGAGAGCAGGGTTTTGAAGGATGTGTGTTAATTTTGACAACTCACTCGCTGATCATATTCCAAAGCAAAGCTTTCCCAATCCTCGTCTTTTTATTATTTTAACAGGATTCGACTGTCGCTGTGGGAACCTTTTCTGTGGGCTTCACCGGTACTCGGACAAACACAACTGTCCTTACGATTACAAGACTGAAGCCGCAGAGAAGATCAGGAAAGAGAATCCCATCGTAGTGGCTGAGAAAATTCAGAAATTATGAACAACTCTTATCGTAGAAAGACTTAACTTCATGTGGGGAAAAATCCCTCATGGTGTCTCAAAGAGTCTGGCTTAAGACAGAAACCTGTTTGTGTGCAAATGGATAGGCCTGAGACTGACAGATGGTTTAGTCAATGACTCGCTGCTGATGCTAATTTGCCCTGTGGTACAATGAAGAAATTTATACCAAGTGTGGAAACTCAACCAGCAAAGGAAAAGCAGGTGAACCGTACCACAAAAAGCAATCTTTTTTCAGCAGTGGTCTTTTGACTGTACCTTCTGCCTTAATAATCTACTGAGATCAAGTCTGCGGGGAGCTAAGCAGGGAGCTAGGCCAGTGTACCCAGTTTATGTGCCTATAGGTACTTTACACCCCTTTACACCAACCAACCCGAGTAATGACCTCATTGGCATGCTCCCTTTTCTGAGCTGTGAATTTGTGTGTATTTTTGATCGAGGTGATATTTACCTTTCTCCCCCTCAGGTAATACTGGTGTATTACTGGTGGAGTGTGCAATACGCTTGTTGAGACTGAAGAAGGTCTTGGAAGCTACCATGGTACACAAGAAAAGGGAAAGGTATTGAAATTGGGTCTTATTGTAGCTGATCTCATTTAACTCTGAATGTTAAGTTTCAAAGCTTAAAAAAAGCAGCAACTATTGTGCACTGTGTATCATGGCTGTCTTCTAGGCTTTAAGCAAGGGTGTGTTCACACAGGTAAGTATAGATATGCTGTTCATAACATAATTTCTAAAAACTATTTTTTTATTGGGTTAGGGTGAGCAGGAGGGTAGCCAAAGTGGACATTACCCACAACCATTGCAGGGACAGCATCTCTTTTTTTTGGTCAGATTGCCATGTCTTGGATTTACCCTGACTGGTCATATCAAAGCAACACAACCTACCTTTTTAAACAGACATTTTTTTGTGTGTGTGGTGTGTGTGGGGAGGGGAGGGGGGAATTCTCCATAGTTTAGCTTTTTAAAAAAATATATATATATATAATTCCAAACCTGACAGCTGACAGCTTTGTTTTGCAGTATTACAGAAATGACCTTTCATGCTATTTTGTGGGGTGGGGGGGGAAAAAAAACATGAATGCATTTGTATTGGGGGAATAGGAAGCAGATTATTCTTACATTGAGCCACTGTAGAGCAAGAAAAAAAAGTGATTCTGTCTCTCTTAATGGGATGTGACACTGGTTTAGGTGCGGTGCGGGCCGGTTCACTGCACACTTCAAGCTAAGTTACAGACAAATACATTGCAGTGTTGCAGTCTTATTATTTTTCCAGCTATTTCAACTTTGAGAGCTACAATTTGTAACCGTGTACAGTTTAAACTTGTAAATTTGTATTGGGGATGTGGGTCGAAGACATACAGTATATTGATTGAGTGTTTTTGGGTGCTAGTTGTGCTTTTCTTCTTTACCCCCCTTACCCCAATTTACTTTCTTCTCCCCTTCCCCTTTTTTCAATGAAAGTATGAAACAAGATGCTAATATATTGTTTGCTTGGATTGTGCGTTGCTAGTTATGTTAGGTTAGCTCTCGATTTTTGAAGTTTTGACCCGATGTTGTGCACAAACTGTGTAATTAGCTCTTTAGTTCATTATCACACCTAAACCCAAAGCCTTTGAGTGTGAGCAATATTGGCTTGTTGACATTGCTCCTGCTATTGTTGTTGCCCATCCCAGCGTAAACAAACGCTACGGAGAAACCAGTTGGGGGACATTTTGGAGGTTGTTGTGTGCAGTTTTTCACTTTAATGTAGATTAAAAACACTGGTACAGTAGTTGTTCCTAACCTCATGATCATTGTGGGCTTTAACTGAGTCACTGTACTTCCTGAATGCCACTCCTTTGCACTCTCTGTCATATAAAACTAGCTGAGTTACAGATGTACATTATAAGCAGATATTTGTATTGGGGGTATTTCTCTTCCTTGAGGTTGTAAATGAGACCTAAATCAATCTGAAATTATTGTCCTTGAGAAATGGTGGGTAATTGAATTCCACGTCCGTACTTATTAATTCCATCTAAACCAGCAAACTATTGTGACGTTTATCCACTGACACAATTAACAATAAATAATCCACTGTTCCATGGCTGGAACATTATCATATCTCCGAAAGTTTACACAAAATTGTCATCTAAGCGTTTAACTCAAGTCTAAAAGCATAAAAACCGTAAGGTGTGTGACTTGAGAATACATTAAGTGTACAGGATCTTTCTTTTCTAGCCCTCTATTTAGGATTTTGGGTGAGTTTAGATAAAATGTTGAGTGCTAGAAGTTTTCAAAAGTGTTACATCAAGATAAATTTTAAACAGGAGTAGTCTGATAGGGTCATGTTTTTGTTTGGTCTTTGTGTGCTGGATTTAAACCCTTAGTTTGCCTTATTTCTGATACACTCGAGTACTACAAATCTACAACTATTGCAATTCTATGGAAGCCTGTGAAATGATAGCTTCTGAGCAAGTGAAATGTACTCTGAATAAGTGACTTTTATTTTAAAATAAAATAATAGCTTCTTTCAAAGCTGGTTAATATTTACTCAGACTGGAACCCAAAGTGGTAGCTATTGTACAGCTAAATTCTCAAGTGTTTGCTTTTTCTCTCTCCCAACACCACCCAAAACAGTAATGTGTACATTCTGGTCAGAAGATTTGCATGGGTTATATTGTCATCAAGGAGTTTAAGTGGACTCTTTAAAATAATAATAATAATAATCCTTGCATTTGATATAGCGCTTTTCACGTCGGGAGGACGTCCCAAAGTGCTTCACAGAACACATTGTAAAGTGAATTGACTGTATATTTGTGGGCGAACGCGGCAGCCAATTGTGCACAGCAATGTCCCACAAACAGTCGTAGATTGAAAATGACCAATTTTTATTATTGTTTTTGGTTTTGGAGGGATTATTATTAGGCTCTGTGTGGAGTAAGGAAACTTGCCCAAGGTTTCGCCCTCTGCCTGGAATTGAACTCCGATGTCTCACTTGCAAAGCGAGTGCTCTAACCACTGAGCGACAGGACTCCGACTCTTGCCTACATTCTCCTAGTTGTTACTGCACCCCATATCTCACTTGCATCCCTCCCTAAGGCATTCTCCAGATTCTCTGCCCATCTGTAAAGCTATTATTCCACACATGCCGCTGTTTACATAAGCAGTAAGTAGGAACCTGGTTGTTAGTCGATTGGCGGATCGCTTTTCCGGGGGTAATAATCTCTTCAAAAAAAATTAATTAAAAAAAATTGGTCGGTCACTCAATCCACAACTGTATGTGGAACACTGCTGTGCACAATTGGCTGCCGCGTTTCACCCACAAAACATACAGTCAATTCACTTTGCAGTATATTCTGTGAAGCGCTTTGAGATGTCTTGAAGATGTGATAAGGAGCTGTATCAAATTCAAGGAATATTATGATATCACATGAGCTACTCTTCTCCCTGCTTTTCTTTCCTCCCTCCCTGAGGCATTCTCCACAATCTCTGCCCATCTGTGAAGCTGTGTTCCAACCGATCAACCCTGCTGTTGATCATGAAGCTTTGTGCATAACGACCTCTGCGTTACTTCCTGGTAATACGGTTTCTTCTCTGGAGTAGAGTACGATGATTGAGCTTCCTTGAAAAGTTACATGTCCAGCTATCTTGATCTATTTCAAACCATGCAGTACCATGTGTGTGTGTGTGTGTCCAGAATGGGTGCAGAGCATCAGGGCACACAGGTTCTGCAAGGATTATAACCCAAATGATTACCCATTCCCAACCTAAACTATGTGAGCATCAAACGTGGCTGGCTTCTACACTAGATGAGTAGAGCAGTCTTATCTTGAGTTGTACGAAAAAATTTGTCCATGTCATATCTTTTGACCATTTAGCAGCATTCCTCCTTTCAGGTCCATAATCCCAAATCTCTTCTTGAGGAATTCAGAGATCCTCCTCCTGTTGTCATCCAAAATGGCTGTGACCTGTACAGTCTGGAGTAAAACGTGTACTGATTGCAGTCGATCTGGCAAAGTGGTCTAATTAGCGGTCCACTTGACCAGCTTTATAGGTAGCAATTGTTGAACACAGCGCGTGGCTGTATTGCACAGCAATGGTTTTCTGGTTCACCTGATGTCATTACCCGCTTTTGAATATGATGAAAGTAACCATTCTCCAAGATGTACAATAATATTCTGAAAGTGGTAACTTTATTTTTATATAATGTGCAATAATTACTTGGGTTACCTGCCGTTGGCTGGACAGTTTGAAACCATCAAAATGCAACACAATCTTTTCATTCATGCGGTGGATTTTGAGTTCTTCAAAAAATATATTTTTTCCCCTATCTTTTCACCCTTTCATGTTTTTATTTCTCCCCCTCTTAAATTATGACCTGGCAACACTTGTACATCTGCAGGTTATAAAACTAACCTGAAATTTAACACTCACTTAAAGTAACTTAACACCTACAATTGTGTGTTCCCACCATCTCCGTGCTTCAATAGATAACACTGTGTCTGGGGTTATTTTCCCTTGCCCCCTTTATCTCTTCTTCCTCAATCCCTCCACCTTGCTCTCTCCCTTCCCCTTTTCAGATCATGCCTGAAGAGCTTCCTCTTCAACCATCCTCATGGTCACCTCCCCCAGCTCTGTGTCAGACTCTGCCACTGTTAACGCGCTCAGGCAAACTAGATGAAGGTCGCTATACAAATGCAGGTTGTTGTCTTTGTTTCCCCCCGAATCCCCATGAGCCAACAAGGGGAAACGTGTCCCCAGATCTATGTCCACTCATCAGCTGGCTGCCAGGAGGACAATACAAGAACCATTTGAGAACTAGAGATGTGTGAAGAGCTTGGCCTGTTACATATAACCTCTCACGCAAACCTCACTCGCTGGAGGCACCCTTTGCCTTTGGCTATACTGAGCAACATTTTAACCACAAGTGATGCTTGATATAAGAATTCCGTCAGCCTGGTCAGTGATATCAGGAAGGCTGATATGTATTTAGAATGTCCTGCACAATGTATTGAATTTTTGAAATTTCAGAATAGTTTCAGACAGTTAGATAGTCTTAAAATCAGTGAGATTTCCATGTCAATCTAGACTATAATAGATGGGTTGTCCTTCCTTTCTCCCCCCCATCCATCAATCAGTATGTTTGGCAGTGAGTCAATGGATGTCTTAACGATTTAAAATTGGTCTATTTCAAGTTTGGGAATTGGATTTTTAAAAATTGTCATCAGACAATTGGCAGAGTTTTCTGATAATCTAAAGTGCGAGTTGTATTTCCTGCAAAGTTCAATAGTGATCTTTAATGGGATTGGGAATACAATTTGGAAACTGAACTGATTTCGGTAGCTGACTGTGAGAGCTTGCGGAGTACTGGTGTGTAAGCATAGTCACAAATAATTACAGGTCCGTGCCCAAGAGTTGGGTTTCATAAACTTTATTTTGAAACGTGTGTAGAACTTGTACCATGGTTGCGTTGAACTCTTTCCCCACCTTCCCCCCCTCCCCTCCCCCCTAAAAAAGAAAGTATACCCAGATACTTGTGTTTGACTGAGGGATACAAAGGCTGTATATGCCACACTAAAGACTTGGGTTGAGAGTGTGAATTTTACAGGATGTAAAGTAGAGCTGTTTTGCAGGCCTACAAAAACTATTGGGACAATTTGGTGAGTTCTTGAAACCATTTCATTTTAATGCTGAATTTCTTTCATGATCATCTTTAACTTGATGGGTTTTACTGGATGGGGAAGATAATATGTGCTTAGTTTTAAGCACTCAAGTTGCCTTCAGTCAATTGGCTCCCTGGCTATCAAAATGGGGCTCTCATCAGTGGAAAATATGCTGTTGCTTTTATAACTGCTGGGTTGGTAACTCTGCCTGCTGTGGTGAAGATCACTACACTGTTTCTCCCCCCCCCCCCCCCACTCTTGAGACTAAGCAACGGGGATGACAACGGTTTTATTAAAATGAAATTGTTTCACGAGTGACTCTTAATATAATTATAAAAGACATATTTTCAGCGTGTGATTTCTTGCCCAACAAATTGCAAGCTTCTGGATTTTTTTGATTGCTGCATGCACTTAATTTACTTTATTTTACACTATTGACTGCATTTATTGTACATTGATTGTCATTAAAACTCTTTAGGTTTTTGGATTTGTACAGAGCACACTTTATTATATTCCAGTAATAACTATGTTTTAGTCTGTGTTTGATTCTCTGTAATTGTAAATAAAGTGTTGTACATATATCCTTGGAGTAAGCTTTCCTTCCTCTCGGCTTCTTTGGGTAATTTCAGATATTGTCATGAATTAGTCGGGTGTTTTGTGTTTGATTTTCTTCAAGACCCTCTTTGACCCCACGCAAATTAGCTATTTGCCTGTTTGTGGGATGCTGCTAAATGCAAATTGGCTGCTTACGTTCACATACAAATACATAAATATTGCACTTAACAATAATTATTGTGAAATGTTTCCATGTGTTAAGGCTATAGGACTATTCTGTATCTAGGTGAGTGTTGACTAGAAGCTGTAAACCAGAACTGGTTCTTGACTTTCCTCCTCATGTACCCACACATGCCGTGCAGGAACACCGTGCCCATTACTGCTCTTTATATGTGGGTTGATTTTGAGTTTTGTGGCTTTGGTCACCATTAATGAGGTGATTTCCTTTTTGTTTGAGGACATTGCTTTGTCAGTCCATGGGAAGGATTGGGGACTTGATTGGTTTTGGTGTAATTTGGCTTAATGTTTCATTAAACTCTTACTTGTCACTGTGGGTTGACGATGGCTTGGGATGAGAGCCAGATTTGATTAGGATCTTTGTCCTTCCTCAAACCACATCTTGGAATCAATGCTACATTTTCAGTCGCTTTGTGACAGACTGAGTGGCTTTTACAATCCACTGATTTGAGGTGAACTCTTCCCCACTTGTGAATTTCTATTGGATAAAGGCATCTATCTGCACTTTGCTCATCAGACACTTTGACCCACAATTTTCAGGATGTGGTGAGAGCAAAGTGCTGTATGTTAAACGTACGCATGACCTGAATGCCATCCTACACTGGATGTATTTAAGTAACATTTCTTGAGCATTGCTCAATACTCAGACCTGCTTTTCTGGATTACTGAGTGCGCTGAGTTTAGTAGGTTCAGGAACATCAACCTGCCCCGTGGGAGGTCTTGGGGCTTAAACCTACAGCCTTTTGACTTGGAGGCAAGAGCCCTACCAGCTGATGCACAGAGGCTTGAGGTGGGGGATCCTGAGGTTGGCACTGGCTGCCAAAAGTGGAAGATTGAAGAGAGGGGAAGAGAGAGTGGGAAATCGTTCTCGGAACACTGCTTCTGTCTCAACTTGTACCCGATTTGCAAAACACAAGAGCTTTTACGTCAGAGGATCTGGCCCCAATTGTTTTCTTCACAGGAATGAGAACCACACGCTTGACAGCCTGTCCTCCAGGGTGGAGTGTCACAAACCGCATAATCCCAAACCTGACTGGCCAGTGACTGGGTCCTGTATTCCAGCCACAGACACCGCTGTATAATACATTATAACACTCCAATAAGGAACCCTTGACAGTTTTCTTTCCCTGCGTGTCTAAATGAAAGGCCGAGTCCCACTAAGGAAATCACACTACATCGTCTGAACAAGTCCTACGTCTGTATAACACATGAACCTCTCGCAGGTATCCATGCCGCGTTACCTCTGGCTGCCTGTTCCAACATGCGTTCTAAAGGCACGTGTTCGCTCCGTCGGTGACAAATGGTCTGTGGCTGTAGCCGAGTGGAAGGAGAGAGCGCTCACTGCCTCTTTCTTCTGCTAACAACTGCTCATTCAGGTAGACATTAAAGATCCCAGAGGCACGATTGTATTGGAAGGGATGGGAGTTCCTCAGGACGTCCTGGGCAACAATCCCCCCCACACCCCCCCCCACCAGAGCCCAGAGCGGGGGGGGGGGGGGGGACTTGACCCCACAGCCTGTTGACTCCAGAGGGAAGAGGTGCTTCAGCCCAGAGTAACCCCAAGGTGCCCTCTTCAGAGGGGGAGCAGAGACAGGAGGGATGTGGAGTGGGGGGGGGGTGAGGGGGGAGATGGGGGGGGGCAGATACAGGAGGGGATGGGGGGGCAGATACAGGAGGGGATGATGGGGTGGGGGGGGGTGAGGGGGGATGGGGGGGGTGAGGAGGGGCAGATACAGGAGGGGGTGGGGGGGGGGAGACGGGCTGAGCCGACCCCAGGCCGCGCGCCTGTGACCTCTGACCCGGATCCTCTCTCTCGGGTTACAGCTGATCCTCGGCCTCGGACAGGATCGGCGTCACTGCCCGCGTCACATCCGGCGGGGAGCGGGGAGGGGGGGAGTGTGTGTGTGTGTGTGTGTGTGTGGAGCGGCGCTGCGCTGCGCTGCGGGGATGGGGGGCCTCACGGGCGGCCACTGATCCCAGTCCAGCCCCGGGCCCGGGCGGGGCCTCGTACCCCAGAGAGAGAGAGAGAGAATTCCCAAACCCAGGCTCCCATTCCCGGCTCCTCCCTCAGCGCCGGGTCCCGGTCTGTCAGTGCTGTGCTCCCGGGTCTCTAATCCCCGTCCATTCCCAGGCCTCCCCCCCCGGTATTCCCGGCCCCTATCCCAGGCCTCTCCCCCCCCCCCGGTATTCCCGGCCCCTATCCCAGGCCTCCCCCCCCCCCCCCCCCCGGTATTCCCGGCCCCTATCCCAGGCCTCTCCCCCCCCCCCCCCGGTATTCCCGGCCCCTATCCCAGCCCCCCCCCCCCCCCCCCCGGTATTCCCGGCCGCTGCTCCCGGCCCAGGATGAACGGCCTGTCCCTCAGTGAGCTGTGCTGCCTGTTCTGCTGCCCCCCCTGCCCGAGTCGGATCGCGGCCAAGTTGGCTTTCCTGCCCCCGGAGCCGAGCTACACGGCGCTGGCGGAGAGCGGCGGCCGGTGGGCGCTGCGCTTCTCGGAGCGCGCGGAGTGGCAGTACGGTCAGCGGGAGCTCGACTGCACCGACATCTTCCTCACCCGCACCGGCCGCGGCAACCGCATCGCCTGCATGTTCATCCGCTGCTCGCCCACCGCCAGGTACCGTGTGCGTGTGTGTGCGGATAACAGAGCATCGCTGTGTGTGTGCGGATAATAGAGCATCGCTGTGTGTGCGGATAACAGAGCATCGCTGTGTGTGTGGATAATAGAGCATCGCTGTGTGTATGTGTGTGTGTGTGTGGATAATAGAGCATCGCTGTGTGTGTGCGGATAGTAGAGCATCGCTGTGTGTGTGGATAATAGAGCATCGCTGTGTGTGTGTGTGTGTGTGTGTGGATAATAGAGCATCGCTGTGTGTGTGCGGATAGTAGAGCATCGCTGTGTGTGTGGATAATAGAGCATCGCTGTGTGTGTGTGGATAATAGAGCATCGCTGTGTGTGTGTGTGGATAATAGAGCATCGCTGTGTGTGTGTGGATAATAGAGCATCGCTGTGTGTATGCGGATAGTAGAGCATCGCTGTGTGTGTGTGTGGATAATAGAGCATCGCTGTGTGTGTGCGGATAGTAGAGCATCGCTGTGTGTGTGTGGATAATAGAGCATCGCTGTGTGTGCGGATAGTAGAGCATCGCTGTGTGTGTGTGGATAATAGAGCATCGCTGTGCGTGTGTGGATAATAGAGCATCGCTGTGTGTGTGCGGATAGTAGAGCATCGCTGTGTGTGTGCGGATAGTAGAGCATCGCTATGTGTGCGGATAATAGCATCGCTGTGTGTGTGCGGATAGTAGAGCATCGCTATGTGTGCGGATAATAGAGCATCGCTGTGTGTGCGGATAATAGAGCACCACCGTGTGTGTGTGTGTGTGTGCGTGTGTGTGCGCGGATAAGCCAGCATCGCTGTGTCTGTGTGTGGATAATAGAGCAGCGCTGTGTGTGTGTGTGGATAATAGAGCAGCGCTGTGTGTGTGTGGATAATAGAGCAGCGCTGTGTGTGAGAGCAGCGCTGTGTGTGTGAGAGCAGCGCTGTGTGTGTGAGAGCAGCGCTGTGTGTGTGTGTGGATAATAGAGCATCGCTGTGTGGTGTGTGGATAATAGAGCATCGCTGTGTGCGTGTGGATAATAGAGCAGCGCTGTGTGTGTGTGTGTGGATAATAGAGCAGCGCTGTGTGTGTGTGTGGATAATAGAGCATCGCTGTGTGCGTGTGTGGATAATAGAGCATCGCTGTGTGCGTGTGGATAATAGAGCAGCGCTGTGTGTGTGTGGATAATAGAGCATCGCTGTGTGTGTGTGTGGATAATAGAGCAGCGCTGTGTGTGTGTGGATAATAGAGCAGCGCTGTGTGTGTGTGGATAATAGAGCAGCGCTGTGTGCGTGTGGATAATAGAGCAGCGCTGTGTGTGTGTGTGGATAGTAGAGCATCGCTGTGTGTGTTGGTGGACAGCAGAGCATTGCGCTGTGTGTTGATGACAGAATGCGTACACTCCAGCATTGTGTGTGTGTGTGTGAGAGAGAGAGAGAGAGAGAGGGGGGGTCCAGGTGTGAGGGAGTATTAGTGTGACCGACAGCGGCTCCTGTGGTCAGGATTGAGTGGGATTAGCTGTTGTCTGATCACATCTGATCATATAAAGTAGCATTACTGTGCAGGTGCAGCCCGGCCTGACGACGGGCCTCGCCGCGGTGTCGGCGTGAAGACAATGAGCTCGCGTTGGGGGACACATTCAGACACGTCAGCGTATTGTCTCCCCATGACTATTGCAGCTGTGACCCGCGGCACTATAAATAATTACAATAATTATAATTATAATCCTCACCTTTGATACGGAACCAGTAACATCGAAACATCTCAAAAGCGCCGGGACAGGGAATAGCTGTTGAGTGGTGGTGACTGTATTTTGTAGGGAAAAGCAGCAGCCGATTTAAGAACATCGACGTTCCCCCCCCACCCCACCCCCCCCACAAACAGTGTTCAGACCGAGCTGAGATTTCCATGCATCCCATCTACACATGGAACGGGATATAGACTCTCTCTCTCTCTCTCTCTCCCTGGAGGGACGCATCCTATTTACCTAATTCCGGAAAGTATTAGGCTGACGAGCTGAGGCTTGGGTGGGGGGGGGTGGGTGAGCCCGGAGTGTGCGTTGGGGGTACCCGCCGGAGTCTGACCAGCTCAACCCCACAATAGCTTGTGATTGTTGCGTGGGCTGTTTACCTGGGGGCGGGTGGGGCGAGGGGGCGAGGGGCGGGGCAGGGGGGCTGGGCGAGGGGTGAGGGGGGGCGAGGGGGGCAAGGGGTGAGGGGGCGAGGGGTGAAGGGGGCGGGTGGGCGAGGGGGTGGGGGGGGAAATAAGGTGCAAAGGCAGGTGTAGAGCTCCTACCAGTGGTTGGGGTGCGTACTGCAGCATTCCCGGGCGCTCCATGGGGCTGGGAGTTGTGTTGGTTGAAGTTGGTCTGAGTTAATTGAGCTCTCCCTCTGTCTCTCTCTCTCTCTCTCTCTCTCTCCCCCTGTGTGTCTCTGTCTCTCTCTCTTTCTCTCCCTCTGTCTCTCTCTCTCTCTCTCGCTGGCCACAGGTTCACACTGCTCTTCTCTCATGGCAACGCGGTGGATTTGGGGCAGATGAGCAGCTTCTACATCGGCCTGGGCACCCGGATCAACTGCAACATCTTCTCCTACGACTATTCCGGCTACGGTGTCAGCTCCGGCAAGCCCTCCGAAAAGAACCTGTACGCTGACATCGACGCTGCCTGGCAGGCGCTGAGAACAAGGTACCCCCCCCACACCCCACTCTGCCCCCCACACCCCACTCTGCCCCTCTCCCACTCTGCTCTGGGGGTGACTGTGGGGCGAGGGGGATGGCAAGGCATGTGGGGGTGGGGTTGGGTGATGGGACGTTGAGATGTCTAAGCTGGTTGGCCACTCATGTTGTTCTCGCTCTCAACCCACTCCCCCCTCTCTCTCCCTCTCCCTTTCTGCCACCCTCCCTCTCTCGGCAGATACGGGATCAGCCCTGAGAACATTATCCTCTACGGGCAGAGTATTGGGACGGTGCCCACTGTGGACCTGGCCTCTCGCTACGAGTGTGCTGCAGTCATCCTGCACTCGCCCCTTACCTCGGGCATGCGCGTGGCCTTCCCCGACACCAAGAAAACCTACTGCTTCGACGCTTTCCCCAGGTAAGCCCCCACTGTCACATACACACACCCTGCCCCACCTCACACACACCCTGGCACCTCCCTGCCCCTTTGTCTTCAACCCCTCCCTCTCCATTAATGACCGCCTCCTGCTTGTCCCTTGTTCCCTCTGCTCCACCATCGACAGCTGCGCTTTCAGCCTCTATGCCCTGAAGCTGCCTCAATCCCTCCGCCTAAGCTCACACCTGAACACCTTTCCGCCTCAACCAAGCTAACAGTCACCTTCTTCCCCCCCCCCCCCCCCCCCGGCTGTCCCAGTCTCAGTGTTGAGTTCCGCTCCTGTGAAACACCGCCCTCACAAATTGTTGTTGTTGTCCCACCCATTGTTGAAGCGGACGTGCTGAGTGCCTCGTTTATAACAAACTCCGCAGCTTCGCTAACCGTCCATGACCCTGCTCCGGCCTCCGTCTAATCCTGGAAATGATTGTGTGATAATCTTGGCTCCTCACTCTGGTTAAAATGTGCTCACTCTCTTCCCTCTCTTTCTTCTGTTTTTCCGCTTCCCCCCCAATCTCCTCTCATCCCTTGCTCTCTTCTCTTCCCCTCCTTCCTCTCCCTGTCACTCCCTCCCTCTCCCTGTCACTCCCTCCCTCTCCCTCTCTTTTGTTTTCCAGCATTGACAAAATCTCTAAGATCACGTGTCCCGTGCTGATTATCCACGGGACTGAGGACGAGGTGATTGACTTCTCTCACGGGCTGGCGCTGTACGAGCGCTGCTTACGTGCGGTGGAGCCGCTGTGGGTGGAGGGCGCAGGGCACAATGACATTGAACTGTACAGCCAGTACCTGGAGCGGCTGCGCAAGTTCATCTCCTACGAACTGGTCAACGTGCAGCGGAACTGAAGAGCAGAAACTACCCACCGCCCACTGTCCGTCCCACAGACAGACAGACAGACAGACCCGCGGGCGGACGGACAGACGTTTCGGAAAGTCTATTTTTTCAGGAGAGTGTTTGGATAGCGTGAGAAACACACACAGACAAACAAACAAAACAAAACCAAACACACCCTTTTTTTATATAAATATTAAAATCAATTCTCAATCTGAGAATCTAGGGGCCGGGAGGAGGGAGGGGGCGGGGGGCGCGGGAGGAGGGAGGGAGGGAGGAGGGAAGTTTGTGACGTTTTGCGACTGTTCCCATGTGGCAATTGGCACATCGAAATTGTTACAAGATTTTGCAAACTTTCCTCCTTTCCCCACCACCCCCCTCATTTCCCACTTCCCCTCACCCCCCTTCCCCTACTACCCCCAAATTGGCTGCTGCAGTAGGTTGAACAGGGGGAGAGCTGAGTTGATAAAACAATTTAGTTTGAGAATAATAATGGTGAATACATCACAATCTTTGGTGCATTGTTGATGCTCTATTTGGCTTGACTTTTTATTTAGGGCTAAAACCCGGATCAGGTCACGATGGGGCCTGCGCCCCTTTAACAGACTATTTCTATCACTGTTTTCGTGTTGAGTTTCAGTGGAGAAAGAATCCGTCCTCAGTGGGGGTTGCTTTCCACGTCGAACTTTCATCTCTTTTAATTGTTTTTTCTTTGTGGGACTTTTTTTTAAGTGCTGAGATCAGTGTTGTGATAATGGAGGGGGGGAGAGGGAGAGGGGAATAGAGCGAGCAAACATCTCCACAGGTGCTGAGCCAAAAAATCAAAGCGGCCCCCAGCCTGGGTTGAGGCAAAACCGTCTCCGCATCGCATGCTTGATCCTTGTTCTGTTGTGGGGGTGGGGGGTGTGGGCAGCAGGGGTAACGTGGGGGTAGGAGATGGAGCTGAGCCCTGATGTGGGAGATCAGAGACTGTGGGTGGGTCCCGGGGGAGAGGAGGTTTAACGGTTTACGTCATGTTACATCAGACGTGTAATCATTGAGCCGCCACCGAGCCCACAATCCCAACTCACATACACTCCCTGCTCCAGAGCCCACCACAGGGAAATCATTCCGTCTTCCAACGTCCTGTTCCCCCCTCACCGTGAGATCTTGGAATGATGGGTTGGTGAGACCGTTGCAGGCCAGCACTGTGTGCTCCCCCATCTTTCCCCCCATTGCCCCCTTCCCCTGCCTCGGGAACGCACTGCTAATCACACATCATGTTCCCCTCGGTCTGTGCAGCTGTGGGAATGACTGGATTTGAAAGGGAATCTTGGCAGCTCTGCTCGGGGCCGGTCTCTCAGCGCAGGGGGGTACCACGTTGAGAGGAGCACGGTTCGGCCTCTCCCTCTCCTCTCGCCCCCCCCCCCCCGCCGCCACTCTCCACTGGGGTCAGGCTGTTAGGGCATCGCTCCATTACCCTTACGAAGACTAGAGACTATGGGCGGGGGGGGCTTGGCCCGGGGGGGGAGGAAGGGAGGAAATGTGTTGCGAGATGTGCTGATCATCACCAATGACAATTAGCACACCAAACGCAGCATTTTTTTTCCCCCATTTTTTTGATAAGCAGGCGGATAATTATAGGCTGCAGAGGGGGAGGGAGGGAGCCTGGGTACCTGCCCCCCACCCCCATCCCCGGTTCCCTCTCGGCCTCTCCCCCCAGCCCCTGGCGGTGATTTCGCCGATGTACTGTTCTCTATTTTAAAGCAATTATTGTTTGCAACGATGATGAAATCTTAATGCAACATTCTATTAAACGTATTTAACTGAAAATTTCAAAGGAGGTTTTCGCTGAGCGTTATTCTTGTTCCGCTGCCCTCTGGCCGCCTGAGCTCACAGTCCAGGCTGACACTCCAGCACGGAGCTGGGTGGTGGGGGGTGGGGGCCGAGGGTGAAGAGCACCGTATTGTGCAAAGGGCTCGTTCTTCGGATGCAACGTTAAACCGAGATCCCGTCTGCACCAGGACTGGTTGATGTCGAAGACCCCACAACGCTAACGGGAAAAGAGCTGGGAGTTTCCCTCTGCTGGTGTCCTGGTCGACAAGCCTCCAGATTAACCAGTCACTTGCTCCTTGGCTGTTTGTGTGAAGTCGCTGGGTGCAAAATACGCAGTATTTACAGTGTAGCCTGTGAAGCACTTTGAGACATCCTCCTCGAGATGAGACGCTGTATAAAATGTAAGGATTATTTGTTTTTTGTGCGTGTGTCTGTGTCAGTGCATGTGCCTGTGTGTGTATTACTGACTCGGTCTGTGTGTGTGTCTGTGTGTATCATTGACTCGGTCTGTGTGTGTGTGTGTTACTGACTCGGTGTGTGTGTGTCTGTGTGTGTATCTCTGACCGTGTGTGTCTCTCTCCATCAGTCTCGGTGCTGTGCGCCGTGTAACTGCGATTCCCTTTGGTTACCATCAGGTGTCTCTGAAGAGTGACCGGTTCACCAACATGAGCTGAAGTCGGACAATTTGCGTTTATAAATGTTATAAAATATACAATGTTCTTCCCTCTCCACTTTGCCCCCTCCAAAGAATGGTGGTGATGATGATAATAACAATTCGCTCACTGAACCCACGACTGTTTGTGGGAACGCCGCTGGGGGCAATCTGCTGCCGCTTTTCGCCCACAAAGCACACGGGTCAATTCACTTTACGGCGTCTCCTGCGAAGCGCTTTGAGGCGTCTCGAAGACCTGATCAGGCGCCGGGTCGAATGGAAGGATTATTATTAGTCGCAGCTGAAGCCGTAAACGTGCTTTTTAACCGTTCAGCGATAACCGTGCGTCGAGTCGAAAAACAACATTGGATCACAGTGTGATTTATTTCAGCTCTGAACGGTCGTGCGCTGCTGTTGGTGGTTGTTTTGCTGCGATGTGGAATGTTCAGAGCCGAGTTGTTGAAGTCTAAAGCTCTGAGCAATAATACATGTGACAATTATTAAGCTGCTTTTCAGGGTATAAGGACAGTCATGTGATGTGGAGCCTTCATTGGGAGAGTCGGGATGGGTGGGGGGGGGTGGGCGTGGAGAGGAGACGGTGGTTGCCTGAAGGCTGGGCTGGTCGGATTTAACCCTTTAAACATCAGAAACCCTTCCTGGAAAAAAAGGTGAATGAGGGTTAAGGAGTTTTTGTTGTAATTAATATGATTAGTTTTGATGTTTTGCCCGGCAGAGCGCGACCATCGGGGCACTCCGTGTCGCAATTGAATTAATAATTAATAAAAAAGAACTCCCTCGCCTTTCAAATCCAGAATCGCGTCACAAAGCACTTCAAGAGATTTTACTGTGAGGTGTAGTGAATGTGTGTTTGGTAGACCAACACGCCCACAGATTTCTGTGCCCAGCAAGACGTGGGCAAGTTGCATAAAATACAATGATAATTATTATTTTTACTGTAAGAGCTCCGGGACGCTATCTAGTTGAAGGGCAATGTATAAGTGCAAGTTGTTGTTACTGATACACCAAAGGAAAGGGCTGTGGCCATCACAATGGTTACATCCCCCCCCACCACCATCGACTGCGAACACTGGAGGTGAAAGACGCTGTATAAATAATAATACTAATAATAATAATCTTTCATCTGATACAACATCTTATCAGGTCTTTGCGACATCTCAAAAGCGCTTCACAGGATACACTGAAGTGAATTGACTGTATATTTTGTGGGTGAAACATGGCAGCCAATTGTCCACAGCAACGACCCACAAACAGTCGTGGATTGACTGACCACATTATTATTATTTAATTTTCTGCAACCCAGAAAGGGGATAAAAGCAGATTAATGGCTGCCTCTCGCTCACTCGCTCGCTCACTGGCTGAAAGGAATCCCTCTATTGATCTGGATTAGGAGCTCGGACACGGAACGAAAGCTTGAGTTTATGGAGTTTGACAAGTAGGTCAGAGGAGAGCAAAGTGGGGGGTGGCTTTAAGCCAAGGGAACACTGACTGCTCTCCACATGGGGAGGGATAATAATGTGATGTGATTAATTCAATAGAAAGAATCGGAGCTTCTCTGAGGACAGATGAGCATTCCATCTGCGATGATGAGACTGTGGACAACAAATAACAGCACATTACAGTTACACAGCGCCTTTCATATCGGGAGGATGTCCCGAGGCACTGGACAGTCAGGGATTTGAACCCACATTACGCAGGACACAGGAGGTGACTCAAGACCCTTTACTCTCTCGGCTTTGGGCTCCAGTGGGCAGTGGTCTCCAGCGAGATGTTTTAATAAGGAAACCTGAGGTACGTCCCCGACACAGGCACGAGGATCAAACGGGCTCTTTCGGTGCTGTGATAATTCTACGCTGGTAAATGAAAGGCTAAATAAATCTCTCCGGATTCACTGAAATCTGCTTAAACGCTTCCTAAATACAGCTGACGCTGAGCTGTCCTGCGGGGGGATGGGGTGGTGAGGGGTGGGGGGGGGGGGGAAGAACGTGCTTATATTCTGTGACCTGGAAGTGATGTTGTACTACCACATGTCCCGGTTCACCAGAATCACGGGTTTTACAGTCCGAGTCTCCGAACTACACCTCGGTAAAGATTTACACACAGCGATATGACATGAGACAGGCTGTTTGGCCCAACACGTCCATGCTTATGAGCCCTCATCCCTTCCCGCTCAGTCCCTTCTCTCCTTTCCCCCTCCCCTGTTAATTAATTATTGATTAATTGGAGTTGAGGTACAGATCAGCCATGATCGAATAGAATGGCGGAACAGGCTCAAGGGGCTGAATGGCCGACTCCTGTTCCTAGGTTGCTCTCTGTTCCCATCTGCTCCATGTTTGTATCAAGATTCCTCTTCAAACAGGTCGCTATTTTCTCCTTCAACCACAGTCTCAATCCCCCCCCCCCACTGGGCTGTGTACACTCTGGAGTCTGCGACCCTACCCTGCGTGAGAAGCGCTACATAAATGCAAGTTGTTGTTGTGGTGGTGGTCAGGTTGGCCTCAGGCTGTTGGCTTGTGGGGTCCAACCCACAGCTTCCCCCGAGATCAGAGGCTCGGGGTCTCATTGCGACACGTGGTCAGAACAAAGAGAGAAATACAACGTGATTTGTGTTTCTGCCGCCGCATTCTTCACATCGAAAGGACGTCCCAACGCACTTGACCATTTTGGCTGATCACTGGAGGGGTGGGGGTGGGGTGGGGCAGGATGTGAGGAGAGGGAAATATGACCAAAGGCGCAGTCAATGAGGTGAGTTTTGAGACATCCCTTGAAAGGGGAGGGAGGGTAGCAGGGCCTCGGAGAGCAGGTATCAAGGGACTGAGAGGGAAAGAAAGAGACCAGAGGCAGGAAGGCAGGAAGTTATGTGGGAAACGACTAAATTCACATATAGATAATCCCAGCATTCAGCTCATGCGGTGAATAAAATGCAATCGTTTTAGATTTTGATCCAGGAATCTATAATAATAGTATAATATTATTAAATCTGAGGAGTTAGGAGTGAGAGTGATGGAGCCACTTCATGATACACGTTGTCACAGAACAGTTTTCAAAATGAAATGTGGCTGTTTGACTGACGGCCGCGAGTTTGTAAACCAATTAGCAGAGCATTCCTCAAGCGAGGAAAACTGCTTTAAAGGTTGCAGTCCCTCCGCCTCGCCCCCTCCCTCGCCACCTACAAGACCCATCTCAAGACCCTCCTCTTTGAATGTGCTTTTAATCTCCCTGCTTCTCCCCACCCTCCACCCTCCCCGACCCCCAGCTCGGGTCCGTAACTCTGTCAGTCCAACTCCTTGGGACATCCTCCCGACGTGAAAGGCGCTTTACAAATTTTGTTGTGGTTGTAGCTGAAAATAAGTAACTCTTGTAAATGCTGAGGATCCCATATGATAATGATAAGAATGATAATAAAAGCACATCGCAGAATATACTGTAAAGTGTAGCGACTGTATATTCTGTGGGCGAAACGCAGCAGCAACGTCCCCACAAACAGTCATGGATTGAGTGACTGAATTATTATTATTTTTCTTTTTGATGATTATTACCCCCAGATAGTGATCCGCCAATCGACTAACCACCGGGTTCCTATTTACTGCTGGTAAACAGAAGCGAGTGTGTGGAGTGAGGAAACTTGCCATTGGTCACACCCTATAAATGGTGAAAACAGGGACATTGAACTCAGGAACCTGAGTCCTTTCACTTGCGAGGCTCAGATGCTTTGAGGCGCTACCCTTCATGGAGGGTGCTAAAGAAGTGCAAGTCGTTGTTGTTGTTGAGCACACTAACCTCTACACTACAGGATACATATTACAGTTTAACGTCTGAAAGAAATCCAATTTTAAGATTAGACCCTTTATTACAGTCAGAAAATTAAGCCAAGAACCTCGAGAGGGAGAGGTAGAGGCAGAGGAGGGGGAGGGGGGAAATGGACGGATCGCTAAGATATTCCTGAGGCGCTGAGACGTTAGTGATTTGCCTGGAGAATGGCCCCATTGATGGAGCTGGTTGGATTTTTTTTCCAGAGTCATGAGACAAGTCTTAAGACAAGCGTCCTTCCTGGTCATGAGATCCCACATTAATTAGGATCCTTAAGCCTTTTCTCTTTCACATGGCTTATCACATGAATAAACTCCGTATATAAAGCAACGGGACTGTAACCAGAGTTAACAGTCTCTCTCTCCATCAGCCAAGCTGTGTTAATCATGTTTGTCCTCGTGTGTGAGAGAAAGGGAGAGAGAAGATGAGCAGGGAGGAAAGGAGAGGAGTGACAAATGAGTGAAAACTAAAAGTGAATGAGTTGAGGCCAAGTGGGGGTGCGGACGGGGGGAGAAAG